TTGGTCATGTTTGGAGTAAATTAAGAAATTCAGTTGCTCTAGAAAAAATTAACAAGTTTGTTAAGATATATAGATAAGTATAAAATAAATAAACATTCTTAAGTTTTAACAAAAGTTTTATAAAAGTTTTTTAACAAAAATATTTTGAAAAATATTTTTATATTATATATTTTATATATTCTATAACATTTTTATTTTATATATTATATATTTATAAAAAAACGCCATCTTTACAGAAAAGTATTAAATTTAAATAATTTTTGTTTTCTATGATGATAATATGATTCACAATCATATTGCTTTTACATTTTTTTAGGCTTAATAATAGTGAATAATAAACTAAACGTAGTAAAACCTGTTTGTGGATTTCAATATGGGTTAGATTTTTCACTTTGATTAAAACCGGTTTTAACCGTTGGGTTTAATTGGATTGGACAAAATTTTGCCAGTCCTGACTTCCTTGGAAAATTTGACATCGTTGTAGCTATAGTTTTATCAAATAGTACTTGATATCCTGTCGCGACATTGTGTTCTACCAATGCTGATTGTGAAATGTTTCAGCCTGACGTCCAGATATCTCATTGATATACCTTCATGCACATGTTGATACATGCCCATTCTTCCGGTTTCCGATGCATAGTTTTTAAATTGGGAAGTCAATCTTCAAAGTTTAATGTTACATTATGTTAAATATTTTTAACTTTAGACTTTATCAATTAAAAATATTATAAAGTATAATATACAAGGTGTATCATTTTAATTGACGCACTAACATATTTCTTGATAAGTGGAGAGAAAAATGTTTCAAACAAAAATTTTATGAGCGGAACATAAAATAGTATTGATTTGACCTTGGATATCGTCAAGATAAGGTTACAGAAGATCACTTCTCATTTTCATTTTTACGTAGAAATAAAGTACATTTTTAGTACAAAAATGAAAATAAGAACAATCTCCAATGATCTGGACAAATATTATCCGGATCGTGATTCTGAACAACATTCAAAGAATTTTAGTCGTCAATCGGACTCCTTGGGTTAATGCTAATGCCGACGATACTGTAACTTTCAAACCTTATAACTCGCAAAGTACTTCAGAAGAAACATTTTATTATAGTGTTTCGGAAAATTCTCGAAGCAAGCTACAAGAATATGCAATGAAATATATGGAATTTCATTTGAGAAATTGATAATGACCTTTATTTAACCTTCAAACAACTTTCCAAGACAACTTTCAAATCAACGCCATCTTATGTCCCTCTTCAAACTATATAACTTTTGTCTGAAACATTTTTTTTAAATGCACTGTTTAAGAGATATTAATGCGTCAATTAAAATGATATCCCTATATATAATAACAATATATTAGGTGTACAACTTTGTTTCCGCCGTTTTCCTATAGATTGCTTTAGCGGTAAGTGGTGGTCGAAATAAATAGATCATAGACGTCATACAATAAACTTGGGCATCTGTCAACATAACCCCATAGAAACATTAGTCGATTTGTGTCTGCATCATAAAGTTATTCTCGATTGAAAATGTCAGTTTACGAGCCAAATTCTCGTCATTTGCGGGAGGTTTTAATTTTTTGCTTCAATATGAAGAAATTTGCGGCTGAGGCTCATCGAATGCTCTCAAATACTTATGGTGAGGCCGCTATTAGTGAAAGAAGGGGTCGTGCGTGGTTTCAACGCTTCAAGAACGATGATTTTGACGTCCAAGGTCATGCTCTGTATTTGGTGGGACCAGCTCGGCGTAGTGTATTATGAACTGTTAAAACCGACTGAAACAATCACAGGCGATCGGTATCGAACGCAATTGATGCGTTTGAGCCGAGCATTGAAAGACAAACGGCCGCAATACAACGAGAGACACGATAAAGTGATTTTGCAGCATGACAATGCTCGACCCCATGTTGCGAAAGTGGTCAAGACATACTTGGAAACGTTGAAATGGGAAGTCCTACCCCACCCGCCGTATTCTCCAGACGTTGCTCCCTCTGACTATCACTTGTTTCGATCAATGGCACACGGCCTGGCTGACCAGCACTTCCGGTCTTATGAAGAAGTAAAAAATTGGATCGATTCGTGGATAGCCTCAAAAGATGACCAGTTTTTTCGACGCGGGATTCGTACGCTACCCGAAAGATGGAAGAAAGTAGTGGCCAGCGATGGACAATACTTTGAATCATAAACGTATAACCAGTTTTTTACAATAAAGCCTCGAATTTTGGAAAAAAACGGCGGAAGCAAAGTTGTACACCTAATAACAATATAATAATAGTATGATATTGTATATAAATATACATATGTTATATATTATTGTATAATAATATAATTTAAAATGTATTATTTTTTAATTTCTCAATATTTTTATAATTTGTAAATAAGGATGTATGGATGATATTTCAAAGGATGTATGAATGATAATAAGAAAATTATGAAAAAATTATTTTAAATCATTTTAAAAAATAATACGACAAATTTGGTGACGATTTGCTATCTAGATCGTAAGTTATTTTAATAAATAGTAGTATTTTTTAATTTGTGCTCTAATAAAAGTGTATGGAAATGTATTGCCTATACATAAAATAAATGATAAAAATCTCAAATTTTTAATATAATGTATTCATTATGTATTCAAGATTATGTATTATAACATGATTACATAAACTAGTTGTCCAATAAATAAAAATATTTATTTGTTCTATATTTTTGTAACTAATCAGTGAATTGTAGTGAAACTTTGCATAAGTTATTTTGAATATTTAAAGAACTTATAAAAAAAATTTAGAACATTTTGTTATTTTTAAATTTCATCAATTTATGACGATAAAAATAAGAAATAAAACAAACTATAAAAATGTGTTGTTCAATAAAAACCATTGAATGATTTGAACACAACTTTTATATATTGTTTAAAGTATAAATATAATATATATTTGTATAAATAAATGTCCGTACATCTTTAATTGCGCAGACTGTGCAAAAAATCGTTCCGAATAACTAAAGCACTTCATGTGCATTGACAAAACGGAACGATTTCAAAGCATAGCACAGCAGTAATGAAGTACATGTTTTTTACATAATTCGAAATACACTTTATGTAAACAAAGTACACAACCCTTGATTAAGTCCTTAATTAAGAATGTCTAAGCTCTACTGATATATTTCCATATATGATTTTGTGATTATATCAATAAAACAAATATTGTAAGACGTTGAAAAATTTAGTTAGAAATTTAATTAGAATCTTATATACTTATTTACGTTAGCGTCAAAAAGATGCAAGACATGAAAAAGAATTCAAATTTTTTATTTGCACAAAATTATTGTTAATTCCTACATCATGAGTTACTGAGGGTACAGATAAAATTTCTATTCATTTTTACAATTAAACAAATAACTACATATTGGTATCCTTGATGCAGAATCGCAATATTACCAAGTTTGTTAAAAGGTGATACCGAATCCCGTTCTATTTATTTTCTTAAAAATGTCCAATAAAAAAATTGACGCCTTAACTCTTTGTGTTACAAATGTTTTACAAAATTACAATTTGTATTTGACTGTTTTTTTTTTAAACTTTAGAGTTTTTCAGATCGCTGATTAATCAGAAGTCAAAATCTTAAACAATATTAAATACTGAATTTTATTCGACCATACATGTGAAAACACAACCAATAGAATCAATGTCTTTAACTGGTCTTAGCTGGATCTTAAATACTTATTTAATTCTGAGTGAATTTATATATTGTACTACGTATGTAGTTCTTTGAATTGTGCACCAAAATGATTTTTCGGTCTTGAAACGCAAACTTTATTAAATTACCGCCGTAATATCACAAATTAAATTGACTTTTATAATTGAAAAATTGAAGCAATTTAATAATTTAATGCTTTTTTGCATCTTACGAAATCGAATCTTACAAGAACGATCTTAATAATGCTGAGTAATATATTAAAATCTGTAAATATTATAATTAATTCTTATTGCGAAAAATATTACCACGGAGTGGTCGAATCCGGATCTTTTGCATTCCGTGCGAGCGTCGTAAATCTTTAGACTACCGAGGTCTTAGTAATATTATTCACAATAATTGACATATGTAAGAACAACATCTTTTTCAGATGATACAAATAAAAATATTACATATTGAATCTTATTTGACCATACATGTGAGAATACAATCAATAGAATAATTCTAAAGACTTAGAACGCTCACATGGAATGCAAGAATTCTGGATTCGATTCCTGGCCGAAATAATATTTTTTGCAATAAGAATTAATTATTTACAGAATTTAATATGTCATTCAGCATTATTAAGATCATTCTAAGATACGAAAAAACATCAAATTGTTAAAGTTAGTCAATTTAATTTGTGATATTACTGCGATAGAGTTTAGTAGAGTTTGCGTTTCAAGACCGAAAAATCATTTTAGCACGCGGTTTAAAGAATTACATACGTAGTATATAAATTCACACAGAATTAAATAATAATACTTAAAATCCATCTAAGATTGAAAAGTAAATCGAAATCTTCAAATTTAAAATGGTTGATTCAATATGGCGGACCAATAATTCAAATAATTTTTAGTATATCATTATTTATAAAAGTGCAGGAAAGTATCATCCAAAACTAACTAAAATATATCTAAAATATCATAGATATTGATACGCAAGAAGATATAAGTAAAGGTACCAGAAAAGAATATCTCGGTACAATTCCTAGGTAAATTTGCACCTAGTTACAGGTACATGTATCTAGATGATACCTAGATACTGCTCATAACGCAAAAAGTTAAAAGACTCCTCTGAAGATTAATGAAGATGAGAATTTTATAAAAAATTCTCAATTTTTATTTAAATATGTATTTTATTTAATTATGTATTTTATATAAAAAATGTACGTAATTGAATTATTAAGAATTTTATTTGTAATTAATCCTATTTTATAAAAAATTTTATATGAAAAACTTTGAAATCTTTTATATTATAAGAGGAAGAATTATGATAGATCGGTAGCAACAGAGGTGTGGCGAGGTGGAGCTCGAAGGAGGGATGAATGGAACGGCAGCGCTACGACGCAGCGTCGGGGCTGGTGCAGGCGCCATCAGTGGTGGAGCCATCGAACCAGCACCCATCGCCACTCTGGTCGTATACAAGGACGATGCTGGCTTTGGAATGAAAGTTTCTGGCGACAATCCAGTCTACGTTCAATCTGTAAAGGAAGGTCCGCAAAAATTCCATGTTTGCATTAATATTTGCATAATAATAATAATTATTACATATATAATTATAATTATTACATATAATAATAATTATAAGCAAATTTTTGGGACTCTTATGAGGAATCTTTTATTACCTTTATCTCCTATTATTATAGTTGAAATAATTTTACAAGATTTAGAGTCAGCTATTGAAAGATTACCTTCAATAGCTGAGAACTTCAATAGCTGAGGACTACAATTTCTGTTCTATTTTCAATACATGGACGACATTATACTGACAGCTCTTTCTGACATCATGAATGATATTCAAAGAATTTTTAATTTGTTACACAAAAGACTATAATTCCATGGAAATAGGTTTTGACAATAAAATGAATTTTTTGAACACTATTATTATTGATGAAAACATAATTAATTTGACAGGTAACATAAACCAACTTTTTCAGATAGATTCCTTAATTTTCATTCTCACCATCCTATCTCATAAGAGGAGTGTTATTATGAATGCAGTTGACAAAATTATATTATTGTATTATCTTATTCTCGTTTTCAACAAAATAATTTTATTGAAATCATCAATATTTTCTTAGACATTGGTTATTCTCTTCATTTAAAATTTTCCATTATACAGAAAATATTAAATTATCATATTCAAGAATAATACCGTAGATAAAAATGCCTATTTATCAAAAATGATAAAAATTACTAAATATTTTTTACAATTCCTTATGTTAGATCTGTTTCGGAAAGTTTTATGTCTATCGCTCTTAAACTAAATTGTAAATTATCTTATTCCGAACATCTTGAAACATTACATAAAAAGAGGCAAAGATCAATTGGATATATTCTCTCATAAAGATATAGATTATAAGATTGCATGCGATGATTATGATGTTAGCTATGTTGACGAAATTAAAAATCAGATTATAGGAGCATATATCTGATATAAAGAAAAAAAATAGGATCTCCATTTGTCATTATTAACCACATATTGATTGTAACCACAATTTTTATTGGAATGGTGCTAGAATATTGGATTGCGAACCTTCGTATAATAAACATTATTACATATTTAATATCTGAACTAATTTATATAAAGGAACAGAGACAGAGCTTGAATAGGCAGAATGATACGGAATCTCTACACGAATCCTACTTACATATTCTCCCTTTTATTTTATCTTTTTTAATAACGACTTGTTTTATGTTTTTCGCTCTTCTTTAAAATGTCCTCAGTTTATAACAATTGATTGTATTGAAATGATATCTCTTATCAGATCGTAATTCTGCTTCATATTTTAATAATTTTTGTATTCTAATTGATTTTAATTATAATATTACGTGTTACGTCTCTATTAAGATAATAACATTTCTTGTATTAACATTTCTTTTTATTCCGAATCGCATTAATTTTATATTACATTTTTTACATATATTTACATTTATTATATAATATTACATATAATTTTATGTTACATATTATTTAAATTAACTCTTGACACACCTCTTTTTTTTTATCGCTTTTTGACATACAAGGTGACTCACATCTAGAGCAATATTTAAACAACTAACATTCTTATTTAAAAAATCCAATCAATATGAAAAAAATTATGGGTCAATTTCAAGATCTATAGAATACATTCAAAAAAAATTTTTGATTGAAATTTCGTTAGTTTTTTGTGAAAAAAATTCTTGAATAGAGAAAAAACGAATAAAATTTTTGAAAAATTGTAAAACTTTAAAAAAATTCAATATTAAAAATTTACAGAATTATTGTTCAGATGTGATATTTTGAAAAAAAATTAGTTTGTAAGTTGGTTTTGGATAAAGGGTATTTATTTTGCATATTGAATGTAAACTATTTTGGGAATTGAAAAATAGAGATTTTTTTTTATAAATATTTTTGTTCTACAAAATAAATGAAAATTGTGTTTTAGAGAATTAAAATAATTTTGTGAGTGATTTATATCCAGTATATCAACGAAGGGATTAATTTATATTTTCTATATTATTTATTTTTGTTCTTACTGTTTCTATTATCATTATTTCTATTATCATTATTCAGAATCATGTTTTCAGATCTGCCGCAACTTCGCCGGCTTGCGTTAAGGAACATGATAATATCTCGTGCCATGACGCTTTATTTGCTTAGCGCCGAGACACTATCATGTCTCCAGATTTCTCCTTATTTTAAGGGGATGCTGAAACGAATAAAATGGTCGAACTTGATCAGGGATTGAGATCAATAGTGTAGATTTTTTTTCCAAATTCGATAATTTTCTTATATTTATTATGTACGAGAGTCGTTTGAAAAGTTTTGAGCATTAATATGAAAATGATATTATTCATCAAAACCATTTTAGTCGTGTTTTGAAAGATACCTTTGAAAATTGTAGCCATTTTGGACGCTCAATTGTTGTTTGACAGTCATTTATGCCAATATACAATTATATATAATTTTCACAAGTATCTTTCAAAACATATATGATTGTAATACCAAAATGGTTTTGATGTATAATGCTATTTTTATGTTGAGATTCAAAATTTTTCAAACGATCTTCGTATTGTTGTATCTCATTCAAACACATTCATCTGTCCTTATCTAACATACCTTGATCAAAAAGTTCCGGAATTATCACCAGATGATGCTCTGAGTCAGCTGATTTGAGTTCTGTTTTTTTGGTTAGATTGCCACATTTATTCATTGACATTCCCACCAAATTTTATCACTATAGCTTGACATTTGTAAAAGTTATGCCGTCTTGAGTACATCTACCTCTGCACGTATTTTCGATTTTTTACAGTTTTAAAAATGGAGTTGAATTTGCAACAACGAGTTTGTATTAAATTTTGCATTAAAAATGGATTCAATGGTGTGAAAACCTTGGAAATGTTGAGAAACTGATTTTTTCTTCGATCGAATCAAAAAACCATTACGGGGAACGCGTTTTAACAGCCGAAAGGAGATAATGGAAAAATCGAAGATGGCTCTGATGGCTATACCGACAATAGAGTTCCAGAAATGTTTCGAGAGCTGGATAAGTACGTTGCAGTCGATGGGGAGTACTTTGAAGGGGACAATATCACTTTTGATGAATAAAACTTGTATTTTGAATTTTCTGAATGAATTCCGGGAACTTTTTGATCAAAGTAGTATTGCAATCTTTTGCAAGATCGAGCATCTACTGTTAGACATAGTTCTTGCTTTGTTTACCATTCCGAGTCGTCGCTCAACATTCATATATACGTAATTTGCAAATAATTTGATTGATATAAATCTTTTTCTTTGGGTTCTTAATCTTGGTTTCATAAATTTAATATTGTTTGTGCACGTAAAATGCTAGGTGCTGAACTGTTTATTTATAGGAGCTATACAATTTTAAAGTAGTAAAGAAACATCTACGTCAGGTGACAGTTCTACGAATCGAAAAAATATAAGTTTTTTTTCGATTTTAGTATAAAGCCTCTGTGAAATTGGCTTCATTTTTCAAAAAAATCAAATTTTTGTCACAGTTCGAAATGCACCCAAAAGAGTTCTGTAGTTTCTATTCAAAATGAAAAATAGTTCTGGCGAATTAATACAAAAAATCGAAAATAAAAAATTTAGAATGCCAACTTCACAAAACGCAGAACGAAAAATCGCGATATCTTTTAAACGATTAGTTCTAACGCTTTAAATGATAATAACTTTTGATAAAATTCTTTACTCAAGAGAGAGAGAGAACAAGACTCAACAGAATTGCCGTAACATTCAAAAATGTTTTGTCCCTCAGATATGAGTGAATCAGACATTCAAAAAATCGCTATATCTCTTAAACCTAGCACTTCAAGTGTTAACTTTCGTTAAAATTTATGATACCCAGAACTGTCGATAAAATTGCCAGAATTTTTGAAAAATTTTTACTCATTGTGTATTAAAAATTGTTCGATTCGACAAATGAAATCATCATATCTCTTAAACTCTTAAACGTTAGTTCTAGCGTTTCGAGCGTTAATAACTTTCGTTAGAATGCTCGTAGAAAGCTACCCAAAATGTCGACAGAATTACTAGAACTTTTAAAAATTTTTCACCCATCAGATATTAGAAATTTTTTAATATCTGAAGGTTGAAAATTTTTTTAAAATTCTGACAATTCTGGATAGCACTCCATTAGTTCTAACGAAAATTATTAACATTTGAAGCGCTAGGATTAACGGTTTAAGAGATATGGCGATTTTTTGAATGTCTGATTCTCTCACATCTAAGGGACAAACAAATTTTGAACGTTATCGCAGTTCTGTTGACAGTTCTGGATAGCACCCCAAGAATTCTATCAAAAATTATTATCATTTAAAGCATTAGGACTAATGATTTAGAAAATATCGCGATTTTTCGTTTTGCGTTTTATGAAGTGGGCACCCCAGATTTTTAATTTTTGATTTTTCGTATTAATTCTCTGGAACTATTTTTCATTTTGGACAGAAACTCCAGAACTCTTTGGAATGCATTCATAACTATGACAAAAAATTCATTTTTTGAGAAATTTTTTGAGGTGCTATCTTCACAAAGGTAGTGGCGTAAAGGCTATGCAGCACCATCAAATTTTGTGTTTACTTTAATTCTGTAAAAGGATTTTTGATTCCGTTCAGTAAATTCGGATATTTATCGATCCCACAATTTGATCACTCCAGCATCCCCTTAATAGATTTAGTAGATATCTCTACTATTTTCCTGTATATGAATAAATTTATTATTAATATTTCATTGCTTTTATCTATTACGATATTCTGCAACAACATGTAAGAACTGATGATTATCATGGCAAAATTTGCGACAATCACACTCATTGACCGAACATTTTGGTATTTTTTTAAATTAAAGGAACCATTTGAACTTAATATTTCTATCAATATCATTTGATGAATTTAAGCATTTAAAGCATTTATTATTTTTATTGTTTTTAACGAAAAAACAAATTATTTCGAAAGTGCAAATATTATAAGAAAAAATTTTTGTGATCAT